TCTCAGTGGTATTCAATATCTCAAAAATAGCCATCTTTCTGTCATACTGTGCTTGGGCTCCAAATTTGCTTCCGTTTTTCCAGTTCGGTGCAATAACAATTATTTGAGCATTTTCAAACAGTGAGCAGTGAAGCCCTGGTCATAGTTTTATAGCAAGGCCGAAATTACAAGGGCAATTTTTAAGTGTGTTGTGGTGTAATCGGGACTGGAAGTTACTATGTTTAATATGGTGACCCGCTAACCCATTTGATCTGCCAACTGATAATCTACGTATACATATAGGCTACATAGATAGTCTAATGGAATCAAATTCCGGTGCCCTAAGGCTGCGCAAGGGTCCTGCACTGCCACTCTTGGCACACCCTCGACACATCCCCTCTCTAGCTCTTGGACATCTACCACGATGCTGCTGGAGGATGATCTTGTGCCATCCAGCCCTTTGCTCAACTCATACCTTACTGTCAACTACTGTCAACCATCCTGGGGCCTTCTGCAGAGGATTCTGACTGGTTTTGGGCTGATTCTGGACTCGTTCTTGGGCTGGATGGCTGGGATTTTATGATTTTGAGACGGAATTTTGCTTTCTCCGTGTCTCCTGTTTGCAAGGATGGAATTGGGTTTTGGTCCGTCCTGGTAAGACTGCTGTGTACTGCATTCTGGACCTCCATCTGGAGGACTGGACATGCATATGCAATCAGTGGACCACCTTTTGCATTGGATTTACTAATGTTGCACATCTGTGCAGGCGACTGTTTGGGTTGCTCCGGGGCTTCAGGTTGAGGGAATCGGACCTCCGTCTGGAGGATTGTAATCCAAGACCTGCAGTCTTGGGGTATTGTCTGTGTTATCGGCTTAGAATCGAGTCTGTGGCCTTTGTTTCACTGGAACAGTTTGCGGAATTCCGTGATCTTGACCCATGGGTCATGATCTCCGTCTTGGCATAACTGTTCACTGTGTATTCTGTGATTCGTCCTCTGCAACCATCACTGGTGCAGACTGGGCTTTGTCTTCTGCAACCGTCACTGGTGCAGATCTGGTTTTGTCTCCTGTAATCGTGATTGGTGCAGACCCGGTATTTGCATTGGCAAAGCGACCGATGATTCGTATTGAAGGCAAGGCACGGACAACAGCCTGTGAAGCGGCTTCCTTGTCTTCCTTCGACCACTGGCGTTGTGTTGCCTTTGGCAAGACCCAAGCCCGATGGTTTGTATCATCTTCCCGGAGATGAGCAAGTCGAAGACGGTTTCCATTTACCAAGCCTGGTCGTAAGTGTCCACGTCTATCCTTCAGTTGATAAGTTCCCTTATCCAGTTTTGTAGTGATCACAAATGGTCTGAACCAATGTGCATCACCCTTGTTTGCAGTTTCATTCCGGAGCAGCACCTTTTGACCAACCTCAAAACCCTGCTGTGTACCTTCCGTCCCAATATTGAGTTGGTGATCCCACCGCTCCTTGTCTGCAACTGCCCGGATAGTGCTTCGCTCCGAAGCTTCTTCTCGAGCCTTCTGCATTTGCAAGTGCCGTTCCGAGTGCTCTGCATCCCCTGGGAGTGCAGCATCTGGGGCACGGAGAAGTGGCTGGTCAAACGGCAACCGAGGCTTTCGACCATACAACAACTCAAATGGTGACCACTTGGCTGTGGTTTGCTGTCGGACTCGAGTTGCAAATTGTGCAGCATCAAGAAATTCATTCCATCGAGTCAGATCTCCTGTGGTATTCATCTTCTTGAGATACAACTCAAGGATCCCATTGTATCGCTCCGTTTTCCCATTGGTACGTGGATGATATCCTGAGGTAGTCAACCGTCTGATCTTTGCAATCTTCAGGAATTCAGACACAACTGGAGCAAGGAAGTTCTTTCCACGGTCTGTGAGGATTTCACTTGGCACTCCATAGTGCATAATGATCTGGTCTCAAATCTCCTGGGCAACTCGTTGGCCTGTGGCTTTTCGCATTGGAATCGCAATTGGCCAGCCCGTGGCATGATTGACCATTGTCAAGATCCATTTATGCTTGTGACTGTCTCTGGTCTCTGGCATTCTGATGAAGTCCATTCCCCATCACTCAAATGGTTCAACTGGTGGAAGTGGGTGTTGTTCTTCAAACTCCTGCCATTTCCTTGGGTCAGAGAAGATTTGACATTGTGGACATGTTTGACAATATGTCTCACAATCTTTTCATCAACCAGGCCACCAACCCTGTCCTCTGAGCAAGTCCAGCATACCATGTACACCTCGATGACCATACTCTTTATGAAGCACATTGAGTAATTCTGCATGGTGCAAGAATGGGATGAAGGGTGAAGACTCGTTTCTGTTTGGCCCGATAAACACAAGTGTTTCAGCAACTGTGTCATACTGGAAATCACCAGCTTGTCTCTTGGCTTCTTTGACAAGGTTCTCTGGGACTGAGGCCGGAATCTCTTCATTCTTCAGCACTGCTGGTATCAGTAATGGCCAGTCTGTCCATTCAAATGAGTTGAGATCAAAGTCCAATGCCACAATTTCAGTAACATCTGGAACTTCTCCCCCTTCGAAATTGTCTCTCATCCTTGAGAGTGCATCTGGAACAGTGTTCTCGACTCCTTTCCGATAGATGATCTTCACATCCATCATGGAGAACTCTCCAATCCACCAAGCAAGGCGTTGAGTGATGATGTTTTGTTGCTTGAGGTAAGCAAGAGAAGCATGATCTGTCAAGACAGTTGTCTGACTGACTGGTAGATATACCATTTCCTCCATGCATACAGCACAGCAAAAAGTTCACATTCTTGTGCCGGATAGTTTTGCTCTGCAGATGTGAGCTTGCAGGACTCAAAGGCTATGCAGTGCCAATGTCTGGCTTCATCTTGCTGAGCAAGTTCGGCACCAATTGCAAAGTCTGAAGCATCTGTTGCAACTCGATATGGCTTGTTCATGTCTGGTGGTTGAAGCACTGGAGCTGAAGTCAAGACACTCTTGAGCTTGCAGAATGCATTCTCACATGATGGTGTCCATGTTACCAGAGAAAGCTTTGAAACCTTCCCCTTTGTCAAGTCATGCAGTGGTCCAGCAATCTTCACAAAATGCTGGATAAAGCAATGATAATATGAGGCAAGGCCAAGGAAGGATCGGACTTCTGTCACAGTTTCCAGTCATTTCCATTCCTTGATCATGGCAATGTTCTCCTCTTGCACTGCAATACCACTTGTTGAGATGTGATGTCCAAGAAAATTTGTTGATGTTGCTCTGAATTTGCATTTCTTGGGGTTCATGTACAAGTCTGCACTTGTCAAGGCTTCAAGGACTTGTTGGACATGTTCTGGGTGTTCCTCTTCAGTCTTTGAGTATATCAAGATATCGTCAAGATACACAAGAACAA